TAGTAAAAGGTCAAATCAAGGGTTTCCATCATTTTGAAGTGTCCTAATTGAAAGTCAAATTGTATAACCCGACAATTTGTAAATGTCGGGTTCGACATATCTAACGTCTAACCCGACAGTTTTAAATGTCAAACTCGACAATTGAACTGTCGACAATGTTGGGAAGCAGATGGGAGTGGGTTTCTCAAGCTTCTTCAACACATCATATTAAGTGTGGTCATTATTATTCAGGTAGAATGACAAAATGTAAATGACATCTGGGCCTTGTCATTAAAGAGATCTTAATGATGGTAATGGAAGAAATTACTCAAAGCCTTAATGGTGATAATGGCATTTTATGAAGGATTCCAAAACCAAACAAATGATGCATAATACTTTCAAAAATTTCAAAGAAATATGCCCATGTTTTAACATGTACGAATAAAAAGTTATAAAATAAAATATAAATAATTTATAATTGCTAACCTCTCAAAATAGATGAAGAATACAACCAAATGTCTTCTTGATCAATGAAAATGAAGAAGATGGAGAAAATGTAGGGTTTCTTAATTATGTTACGTTTTCAAAAAATTTTGGTGATTTTTTATGAACAAAAATTCATATTAATCAATAAAAAATATATTTCTCCATGTTTTCTATATAGAAACTAAATGATCACATCAAGTCAATGCTTTTCCTTCAAATCAAGCATTTAATGCTACTAGAAATGTGTTATTAAGGGTAATTCGGACTTTGCACCCCAAAAATGAAACAATGTTGCTCACAAAAAGTAAATATGACAAATTTTTTGGAACTTTCATTTTTTGTGTCATTTTTGTAAATTCCCCTAAAAATAAAATAGGATCGGGAAAATCCAAACTCTCCCATGGAATCTAGATGGAAGCCTAAAAATCTCACCTAATCTTTTGTGGCGCTTAGCCTAAAATATAAAAAAATCAATTAGGGGTTGGCTTGGTGCTCATTTGAGTTGGGATTTGCCATTAATCTTACCTAAAATACTTAGAGCCCATTTAGCATGACTTTTGAAAAGTTATAAGGAACTTTTGGAATTCAAAAGCTGCTTTTGTATTCATTCGTCTAATTTTATAAAAGTATTTTTGAAAGTTAGATGAACTTTTATAGGAAACTGGTCCAATGTGACTTCCTCTAAAAGCATTTCTGGAATAGGAAGTGATTTTAAAAAATTAGTTGTCAAACAAAAAATAAGATAGTTTCTTTAAAAAACTCTTCTATAGGAAGCAAAAACAAAAGTAAAAGTCATGCCAAACATGCCCTTAATATCTTGAAATCTAAAAAAGTATATCATTTAACTCATCAACCTGATTTTAAGAATTGTCTTACAAACCACGTACATTTTTTTTATTTGTTATTTTTCGACACAAGAATTGCGAATACTTTGTTTTTTATTTTTGAATGATTCATATTTGACCCGAAAAAATGTAGATTTACACTTCAAAACTATTTCTTCATTAATATTTTGCTAATCATTTTCATCTATTTGATTTTGAACAATAATTTTATTAATATTTTGCTCATCACAAGAAAATTCATATTTATGTTTTAAAATATTGTGTATTTGATACAAACAATCAATTCAAGTAATCGAAAGGAAAAAAAGTAACCAATATTCAATACTAATAATCAGTCAAATAAACACAGTTGGTTAGATATAAATTAAATTTTATATAATCAATTTAGACACGTGCTATATACACAAATAGAATAGGAGAAAATGCAAATTTGGGTCTAATTAATTAAAAATTTGATTGAAAAATGAAAATTTGTAGTAGATATGATAATCGCAGAGAAATTATGAACAAATTTTAAAAAATTAGAAGAGTTAAGATTTTGGTAAAAGGCTTGAAGGAGAGATTACGATAGAGCACTAAAAAAGAAGAAGAGAAAATTCAAATTTATTGTGATATTGTCTCTGTTTGGTAGGGATTAAAGCTCGATTTTTAGTATATTTCGATAAAATTTTAAAAGTTAATGAATCCAAAAAATATGTTATTAAAATTAATTATTAACTTTGATTTAGGTCATGTTTGATTGCACCCCAATTCCATGGAAAATGGAAATCAAATTCCATCTTTCTAATTTTTTGTTATTTAATTGACAAAATTTTCCCTAGAATTCAAATTCCACATTTCTTGCCGCATAAACCAATTTCTAGCTTTTCTTTGAACGGTGAGAATTCCAATTTCTGGATTACTGTAGCTTTTTTTTTTTTTTTTTTAAATTTTTTGTCAATGGAAACAAATTCTAAGAATTATTGTAAAAAAATATTTCACTTTTATTGACAATTTTCATGTAAAATAAAGTCAAACGAATATCAAAAGATAGATGGTTTTTTTTTTTTTTGGACAATGGAAACAAAATTTATTTCCCAATACCAGTAAATTCTATCCTTCTAATTGACAATTTTTATATAAAATAAAGTCAAACGAACACCAAAAAACACTTTTATTTCAACATTTTTCACGTGAAAAATTATACCATTCAAATACAATAATTTACAATTTACAGGAAAACAATTTATAGACAATTCAATTCCCCAGAATTCATTTTCTTTCCACCCAAATTTCATCTTTGCAATCAAACGAACCCTTCATTAAAATTTAGACCATGGCAGCATTGGTGGCACACATTGATCCTGGACTTGGTCTTGGAGATGCAATGAAATAAATTTTAGTCCAGCAATTGATTTAACAGGATTTGAACAATATGCGGTAGGATAATGCTTATGTTGTAGAATATATATGCCGGGATATTTTTGATATATCAAAGAAGAATGTGACAAAGCTAGGAGTTTTTTCAACTAATGGTATAATTAAATTTTCACGATCCCTTCAAATAGTGAGTCCGAAAGTATGCAAGAGCTAAATACACACTTCACTAAATATATGTTCACGATAAATATGACTAGGGTGTATATAGTGTAATTTTTAGGTTTTTCAAGTTTAGCTAGAGGTTAGACCGACCCTTCGAAAAGTCTTTTTTTTTTCTTTTGTTATTAATAAAATAGAACACTTATAGTGGGTTTTTTGAAAGAAAAAATCTTTCATATTATTTAATTTCTTGAAATTGATTCAAATAAAAGGTCTCCCAAATCCCAATAATTTTAATACGAGAATTAGTGCAAGCAATATAAACATCATCATTATGTTTTACATTATTTTGAATTTATTTCCACTGTAAGAGTGATAATTGAAGAAAAATACTTTTGAAATAATATAAAGATCGATAAAAAAAAAATAAAAAAATAACATCATTAGAATTAGGATAGAATAGTGGTTAATTAACATGCTTTACTGAAAATTTTAAAATTCTAAATTAACAAAAATAATCACAATTGTGTAGTCATTATTATTTATAAATTTCTCTAATTGTTTTTCATAATAATATTTTTTTGTCATCACATTAAAAAGAATTTTAAAATGCTAAAATTAACAAAAATAATCTCAATTGTGCAGTCATTATTATTTAGAAATTTCTCTAATTGTTTTTCATAATAATTTATTTTTGTCATCACATTAAAAATAATTAAGTAGTGTGGATTGAGAGGGTATGAACTGAAGAACATATTTTTCTAGTCACATTCTTTGATTTTTAGTTCGAGTAATACTATTTACAGTCAGCGATTGCAAAAATTATCTTTTGTGACAGCCTATTATTTGATGCGTTAACGTGTTATTTGAGACAACAGAATTACAAAAAAATAATTCCTCAAATAACAAGCTTCTACATGGATGACTACCCGCAATCGTCGACTTTGAGTATTATTACTCTTTTGGTCTACTTTAATTCCATGTCAACTTTAGTTGCATTTATGATATCAATTAGGGTAATATAGATAGTGCTTGTAGACGGACCCAGTGTAGAGGCATAGGTGGTGGCGTGGTCATGGACCGTACTCTAATATGGAAACTAAAACAAGGGACTCTTTAGGGGTTTAAACATGTGCTTGTAAAGAGGAATTCAGAGCATCTGGATTGAAATCGAATCTAATGCACCAGTAAATCTGGTCTCGTCAAATTATACGGGTCTATGATCCATGCAATACCAAGTTCAGGAAATACAAGACATTCTCAAACAGATGAAAACTTAACTATATTTTTAGAGAAGGGAATTCAGCTTTGGATTGGCTAGCTAGGGTGAATTTCACCTCTTATCATATGGTAATGGTCGATCCATCTGTAGTGTGATAAGGTTCCATATCTTAAATTTAAATAGCAGTGGAGGTATTCTATCAAGTTTGTGGGAAGGAAGTAGCTCTTCCATCTCGGATGCTTTCAAAATTTCTTCCCTCCCTCTTGATGTATTTTATAAAATAGGGTCGGGAAATCCTCACTCCCATGAAATCTAGGTGGAGGCTTGATATCCCACCTAATCTTTGTTGGTCCTTCGCCTAAAAAAAAATTAAATGGGGTTAGACTTAGTGCTCATTAATGCCGTGGTTAGGTATTTTGTGATGTTTAGGCATGTACATTCTCATTGACAACAATTTGTGTTTAAAATATGCTTTGTCGTCAATTTCTGTACACGTATCAATTTTAGTGACTAACTAAATATTATAAGATTTAATGATCAATGCAGACATCTAAAAGTTAAAAGACGATTTACTTGCATGCTTATAAGTTCCTGAACGAATAAGGTTTTTAACCCTTTGTGGAACTATGGTAAATTGAGAAATGATGAATAAGATTAGAGCTAACAGCTTACAAATGGATTGAACAGATGTATTTACATTTTGTTGTTGTCTGAATGCATTTGCAATGTCATTTGGTATTTTAGGGATTGAATTTGTAATTTGCAAATAATTTTTGAACAATTTTAATTGTGTAGGAAAGAAAAGTACTGTATCCTATAAGAGATCACCTACATCAACTCTCATATCAACGAACAACTTGTTTCCATTGACTTTAGTGCTTAAATGCATCAAAAGGTACTTCAAAATTTTTCCTATATAAGTGTGCACTGAGAGACCTTAATTTGCAAACCAATATTAGCAAAACTCCAATTTCAAAATGGCCACCAAAACTCATTTCTTGATTATTCTCTCCATTGCTATAATGGCTACCTCAATTGCAGATGCCCAAATTCTCAATGCCAGACTAAATGTCACTGGGATTGTGAATTGTACTGTCAATAGCACTGTTGGTGGCGCAGCACCACCTTTCCCCAGTAAGTTTCTATTTTACAATGAGCTCAAAAATATTTAGTACGTGCATGTCTCTTTAATTTGTTGAAGTTCTCAAGTGGCCTGAAAATAAGAAGCAACAAAGAGACCTTCGCCTCCCAATCAAAATATTATTAGTTCTTTGACAAAGATTCTGACTTTTTTCCTTCCCGTTTTTACACATGCACTTATGTATACTGCATCGTCATTAACCTAAATACATTTTTAACAGATGCTACGGTTGAGTCGCAATGCCCTTCTGGGAATAACATTGCCAATGCAACTACTAATTCAAATGGACAATTTAGTATCAGCGTGAATGTTGCTCCAACAGTTCTCAATAGCTTACAGACTTGCCGAATAGTTGTTTTAACACCTCTTGCAAACTGCAATGCTTCCCTGCCGCATGTGGGACATCTAGTGTCGGACGCTTTACGTATTAATGAATTATCCGTTTCCGGGACTAACGTTACCGTGGGTTTGAGTGTTGTTGGTTTAGACCTCGACGTTGGGATCATTACTGGTTAGTTCATCGGATGGTTAACTGAACAACAGCCTGCCTTGAAATAAATCGTAAATGTTCTGATTCTGATATAGACAGTATGTGGTAGAAACCATGATTTCCTACAGAGAAAACGGTTTCTGTTCATCCACTAAATAAATCCGAAAGTTTCATGTACAATATTGTGGCAATAAATTTCAACAGCTGTTGTTCTATTCAGTTAAATGAAACATATATATTTAAGTATGATCAAATCTTCTCAGAAACTTCTTTTTTACACTACTTGACTTGTTATTTTCTAATTTTTACTCGCACTGTAGTAGACGGATGTCATCGCCAAAGTAATACGTAGCTGAGAATATGATAAGCATACTTGCATCCTAAACAACTGAAGCAAGCAACATTAGGCAATAGACAGATGAATAAGCCCCGTTCGTAGTTTATGCAATTTTGTTAAATAGTTTCGGATTTATTTAGTAATGTTTCAATGTCCTATAGTTACACATCGTCTTTGACTTATCAACTTTACGTTTTACCCCGTAGAACTCAAATTATTAGATTTGGGCATAATTTCTATTAGAGGCTTTTCTCAGCAATTTAATTTATGACTTTCCTAGTACTAGGGGTGTAAGCGGTCCAATTTTAATGATTTTTGACATATTTTCAAGTCAAACCGTTTAAACCGGTTTGAGAATCAAACAATTTTGAACGATTTGAAAATAACTTAAACCTAAACCTAACGGTTGATCCGATTTCAAACCGTCGATTTCGCCATATATTTTTTTGCATATAATTTTATATCATTAATTCATTGAATTTAATATATATTTATATCTCACTAGCAGTAAATTTAAAACAAACTAAGCCCCTGTTTGAACCAAATTTTTGGGAAAAAAAAAATGAAAATTTGGATTGTTATCCCACAAGTCCAGCCGTTTTTCTTGACTTGCTGTTTCATGTGTGGAACTCAGCCTCCTCTCCAACGATTAATTTTCTCATTATGATGATATGGAAAATATGGCTCAAATAGGGGCTAAATATATCTACTATAAATTTAAATACAACTAAATCACAGTGAAATCACAATAAACTAAAATATAGTTTTTTTGGCTAATGACGATATAATAACGTTACAATACAAGTTTACTAAACTAGATATAAAACCCAAAAAATATAATGATTTCTAACAAGACCTCGTGATAATCACATTTAAAAAAAAGATACTGATTAGACAAAGAGAATAACTGACTACAATAATAAAGTAATTATTTATAATATCTAAACATAACAATTGCACAAGTTTATATTTGTATGATGTTACAAAAGGCATTTAATTTCACATTCTTATCTTAGTTTGCTCTCAAAAAATTATTGATCTGAAACTTTATTCGTAGCAAATATTAACACCGAAGGTCTAGGATCTCTTTGTCTCCGATTTGGTATAATAGATTCCAATTCAACTTTGAAAAAGTGTGAAAAATCTGAAAAGAACTGTGTGATACTGGTGGCTCAAGACTGTGTTTGGTGTCGGTTGGAGTTCATCTAAATTTTAAAGAGGAAAGGAGCTTTTGGTAAATTATGTTAGTCTTGAGATTACTAAATATGAATCAGGATTATTGGATGATGATGATGATAATAATATTAATAATATATCTGTATTAGAAAATTAGAAATTGACAAAAATATCCACAAATGACAAAATTATTGAATTTTACATATTTGGATGAATTTTCAAAAAATTTCATTTTTTTTCATTTTTATATATTTTTTCGTTGGTCCGGTTTGATTTTAAATCGTAATTAGAATTCTCAAACCTAAATCAAACCGTTTTCGTTCAAAACCATTTCATTGACGGGGTCAAAGTGGCACCAAACCGACGATTTCTAAAATACGATTTTGGTTTGATTTTTCAATTTGACGATTTTTGTTTATAGCCCTACCTTGTATAGCATAGAATCTAGGATTGAATTCCTAATTACTTTCCATGTATTGCTTTGTAACATCCTATAAATTAAGGCAATACACACGAGAAGATTCATTCGGCTAAAGTGGCATTTTCACCCTTCTAATCATTTTCTCCAGCTCCGGTTTTCTTTAACAGATTCTCTGTGATCATATCATCACGTAAATGATTCGGTTGGCGCAAATACTGAATTCAGATTATAAACTTCTTTCAGGTAAGCAAAAAAAAAAAAAAAAAAAAAAATTGAATAAGGGCCCGACCTAGACCAAAAAAGCCTAAAAAGTATTACGATGATTAAAAAAAGTTAAGAATATAAGCGTGATAATGAATAAAGTTTAATGTTAATTAAAATTAGATTTATTTATAAAAAAATGTAGTATGAAATTACTCATTATGTTCTTTTCTATAGAAGGAAAAAAAATAATACATTAAACTACGTTCTTTGATTACTTTAAAAACATGTTAAAAATTAACGAGATAGCTAACAAAATTACATCAAATACAAAGCAGAGACATACATTTCGGTTATTAGTACCTAAAGCTTCCAAGCTGCTTTTAGCATTATTTCTTCAAGTCAAATGTTTTCGTAATGTCTTTCAGTAAATAATATAAAATAATTTCTTGCATGGAGAATTGATAGAGTTGTAAATACGAGTTTGGACAATTAAACAAAAGAATTTTTCAACGGCATTTTTTCGCAGCTGTTGTAAGTATTTTATTCCCTACTAACTTATTTCATAGATTACTATATTTACGTAACTATTGAAAGAAAATAGAGAAACAAAGTGATTTTGAGTAGGTCTCTTGGATACCTTACTCAATGAAGAATTTCTATATTTATAGAGTTATACATTAACAGTTTTCAGCTTTTCAAGGTTGTAAAACAAAATAGTATAACTGTCTAACAAATTAAAGATAAACATTCATACATTTGAAATATTTCAAAAAGATTGTTTCTATCTTAATGCATATTCAATTAACACCCCCCTACAAACTGATGGGCAGCAAGCAGATCATTAGTTTGTGCCTTAAAAACTTGAACCGTAATGCCGTATGGCCCTTCGTGAATATTTCAGCAATTTGATTTGCTGTTGAAATATGACATACTCGAACATCCTTGTTCACGACTTTTTCTCTAACAAAATGATAATCTACTTCGATATGTTTGGTTCGAGCATGAAATACATGATTAGAGGCCAAAGCAATAGCACCTATGTTGTCATATAAAATCACTGGACATTTGGGAAGTGTAATTCCCAATTCTTGAAGTGTCATACGTGTCCAATAAAGTTCAGTAGTTGCCAAAGCCAGTGATCTATACTCAGCTTCTGTACTTGAACGTGACACAACATTATGCTTTTTAGCACTCCAAGAAACCAAATTTTTGCCTAGAAATATTTTATAACCACTGCTGCTTGTTCACGAAATAATTCTTTCGATTTAAAACTACCGCAAGTGTACGGATCGTGACAAGTAATAAAGTGAATTTTTAAAAATCCGAATATCGTCCCACAGAGATTGAGTAATTCAATTCTATATAATCTAGCCTTAACCGAGTCTAATTGAGTGAAAATATGGTCCAAATGCAAAAAGCCCTAATTTCAATTAAAAATCCTAATTTCTTAATTAGGAACCCTAATCTCGAAAATTCTCTAATTAAATGATTCAAACACTCAAGTAAATGAAATTATGCAAATTCAAAAGCTAATTTATGGAAATGAATCAAAATAAAGTCACTAGGATCACGAATCCCCAATTGAAGCTATAAAAACCATAATTTCATAAAATCAATGACCCGATGAAAATTTGCCAATTCAATGTTCCTAAATCTATCCAACATATTCTCTCGATATATATTAGACCTATTCTTGCACACCACCAGCCTATATCTCTATGGATGATGCAAATATACAAGAATGCATGTGATTTTGTGAATAATTAGAGAATTGCATAAAGCATAAGGATATATCTCTATCCCCTATTGGACCTTATGTTGATTTACACCTTATCGAACCTATTCCACTTCTCTCGAATGTAAGAAATAAGTCATCAACAGTCACACAATTATTGGCCACTAATTGCGGAAGAAAATCAATGCAAATAAACCAATCAAATTGTCCAAACGAATCTTTATATTAAAATCATGAAATATGGAATTAAAATAATAAAAAATGGTTCATCGATCACCTAGTGAATTTAAAACCTAGCCTAGAATATTCATAATTATAGAATAAAAAACGAAATTAATAAATTGAAAGAATAGCACCCGTATGAAAATTTCTTGAAATTTTGAATAAAGCCTTGAAAACCCGCTTGAATTCTCATGGAATCGACTTCAAAATCGTGTTTCTTACCTCCAAAAGTTGCAATTTTCTTCTCCCTGGACGTTCTCTCCTATTTCTGATGAATTTTGACTTTTAAATCATGTCCTCACAGAGCCCCGAAAAAGTTTCAATCAAAAACGCAAGTTCATAATTTTTTTTTGTTTTTTATAGCTATGCAGCCGCATGGTGTTAAACCATTCGACCGCATGGTTCAAGTGAAATGGCCCGTGGAATCCCTGCAATCTTCTGTGCGGCCGCAAGGTTGTAACTTTCAACTTTGCTGTTTTAGTCCCTGAATTTTGTTTTCTCTTTTCTTGATCTCTTTTCTTTCTTTCTTTCTTTTGTTCCATCATCAAATATTGACTCTTAATTGACGTTTGGGTCAATCAATTCCTTGATCACTTGCTCGACTCATCTTTTGATTAATTACAATTTAGTCCTTCATTTTTCACTTTTCTTCAATTCAGTCCAATATTACTTCTTTCTTCCTCCGATCTTCTTGTATCGTCCTCAAGCTCATACTTGGCATATTTTCATTCTCGTTCTGCACTTTAGCTCAATTTTTCAATATTTGCACCTTTGATCCTCGAACTATCGCTTTGTTCCGTTTTGGTCATTTTTCGGCTCTTTTCTTTTGAATTCCATCTTTTCCATAGAAATACCTACATTGCATGAATTTAACGACATTAAGTCACAATTCAACTACTTTGTCCATGTTTAAGTCATGTTTGTGAGCTAAATAAGTGTGTAAAAACACACTTATCACTGCTCCGTCGATCATCAAGATTTCCTGCCCAGGCAGAGTCGTAGTATGCATTTAAATCAATGCCCGAAGGTGTGTAATACAGGCCATAATTAACCTCACCTTTCAAATAGCGAAAAACTCTTTTAAGAGCAATCCAGTGTCCTCATCTCGGGTTATGCAGAAATTGGCATAGTTGGTTGACAATATATGAGATATCAG